GCTTGCGCTGAAGTTTTTGCCCAATACTGGATTGGTTTTTAACTTTGTCTTTTGGGTCTTGTTTGCATAATGTTCGGACCAGATTGTAAAATTCACTTTTTTGATTGGTCCAGGTCCTTCGGAACCCTCCCACCGTTAAAAAAAAAGAGGACATTTTCTTAGGGGCTTCACGAGAAGAGATAAGGTTGTCTTTTTAGGGGAGCGGATATGTCTCGCCCGCAGTGAGTGCTCGCCTCTAGGGACGCTGTAGTGAGTCGGCCCGTTAGTTGTTGTAAACGTCAGTTTTTTGTTCTTTTTGTTTCTTTATTTTTTACATATTCTGGAAAAATATATGTTATTCATTTTTTTAAACATTTGAATCACTAAAATATGTATGTACCATTCAAAATGTTCGAACATTTAGAAAATGTTAACTTGCTTCAAAAAAATGTCGAAGACTTTAAACAAATGTTTGCACAATATAAAAAGCATTTCATTCAATTAAAAAATATTCACATGTTTCAGAAATATTCTTTTGTGTTATTAAAAAATGTACATACAATGTACAAATAATTCAAATAATTTTACGAAAAAGTTGTGTACCATTCAACAAAATGCACATTAAAATTTTTCAGTTGACAAATTTCAAAAATATGTTTGTGATATTTAGAAAATGTATATAAAATTGGAAATAAAATAGAATATATTTAAAAAAAAATCCAAAAGTATATTTTTAAAAAGTCCAAACATTTATCTACAGAACAATGCTCACCATGTATTTGCAAAATGTTCAACGTGTATCAAAATAATCTTCCACGTGTATACAAAAAAGTGTAGAACTTGTATTAAAAAGTAGACATGTGTTGTAAGAAAATGAAAATTAAAAAGAATCTGAAGAAACCAAAGAAATTGATAAAAAAAGGGGGCATGCACACGTCAGCCGGCGTTTTTTCAAAGACCCGCCGCCTCGGCTACCGTTAGACTTGGTACTAACCAATAGCTCAGCCTCGTCTTTATGTTGCAAAAATGACAGTGTTGCATAACCTTTTGCAACAGAGATCATGTTGTAGAAACTTTTGCAACGAAGGTCCTGTTGCGTTTTTTTTTTGCAACAGGGATCTTGTTATGGAATTTTTCTTTAACTTTACTCTGTTGCGGAATATTTTTGCAAAATAGGTCCTGTTGCAGAACCTCATTGCAACACAACACTTGTTGCAAAGCACCTCCGATGATTTCCTCAGTGACAGTTCATGGCAGCGAACACACGATGCTTCTGGTTCTAGGAGATAATTTTAAGTGTGGGCCCAGGAAGGCATCGTGGCAAGTGGATCCGGCGATGGACGCGGCTGATTGATAGCCTTTCCCATAAAAAACACAGGTAAACAAAAAAAAAGAAGGGAAAAGAACCACGTAATAAAACCTTTTTTTTGAGACATACCACGTAATAAAACCTGTCCGTACCAGTCTATGAAACACCTTCCCAACACCGCTTCAATGGGCTCAACACCTTCCCAACACCTTCCCAACACCGCTTCAATGGGCCCAGCCCGGCCCAACTCTTCTATAAGCAGGGCCCTCTCGCTCTCCACAAGGCCTGCTCTCTTGTTCATCTTAGGCCGCAAGAAAGGAAGAGCGAGAGAGACCGAAGAAGAGGAAAAGTCCGCCTCCGCCTCGCCGCACCCCCACACCCGCCGACGACGCCATGATTCCCAACCTCTCCGCCCTCGAGAACCACTTCGGCGCCGCCGCCGCCGGCAGCGACGACTTCGCCGGCCTCTTCTCCGCCGACGCCGCCGACCAGCTCGCCCTCGAGTTCCCCACCTGCAACGACGTGCGTGAGCCACTCCCCTCCCCCGATCCCCTTCTCCCTCGCCCCGATCCGCCGGCCTCTGATCCCGTTTGTTGTTTTTCCCCCGGTGGCAGTTCGATGGGTTCCAGAAGGCGACCAAGGAGATGGTGAACAACAAGAAGGGGACCACCACGCTCTCCTTCATCTTCGACAAGGGCGTCATCGTCGCCGCCGACTCCCGGGCCAGCATGGGCGGCTACATATGTGAGTCCCCCTCCTCCTTACCTCGGGGGTGCTAGGGTTTGGTCGCGCGCGGGTTCGATTTGCGGCGTCGATGCGTGATTTAGGGTCCGGGAGTTTAGATCTCCTCGCCGAATCTGGTCCCTTTGTCGGGCGATTTTGTAAGGGATGGCACGCTTGTGATTAGCAATGTTGGGGATGCGTTTGCTTACTCTTGTGGACTACGCTGTAGGTTTCCGTATCTGGTAATTCAGGGCAGTGATTCATATTTTTATAAAATCTCATAGCAACCTGAGTAAGGTGTGAAGAAGAACTTCTGCTTAGGTCTAGTGTGCAGCAAAGAAAAACAGGCACAATCTCACACAGTTGAGCCGCAAAGTGCAGTGCCATAATCACACAGCAGTTACTCTGCTTGGCTCTGGCGATTCATTTGGATCATGTGATGATACTATTTATCTGCTGGAACTAAGAAGAGATGTACTCTGTAGTAGAATTGGTGAATCTATGTGACGCAGAGATACACTAAGACCATGGAAACAAATATATTAGTTTTGCTAATGCTTTCCAGTGAATTCAAGTCTGCTTATTTGAAGGTCCAACATTTGTGCATACTGATTTGTGTCCTTTGTGGTTTGGGGAAAGAAAATAGAAGGCTGTGGTTATTGTATAATGCTTATTTTTCTGCAAGCTCTGATCCTTCCGCAAAATTGCCCTTGCGTGTTTGTTATCATTAAGAAGAACTTTCTGCAAGAACTATTTGTCGTTGTACAAGGCTTTTGTTTGATGCAAGGATTATCACTTAAACACTCACCAGTTTATATCTCTGTTCTCTAAATGATAGCTTATTTCTTTCCCTGCAGCTTCGCAAACTGTGAGGAAAATCATCGAGATTAATCCCTACATGCTGGGAACCATGGCTGGAGGTGCTGCTGATTGCCAATTTTGGCATAGAAACTTGGGGGTCAAGGTAAAATACCACCTGCTTGTCTACTTGCATCTCATCATTGCATAGTAGGGATAACAATAAATTCTTCTTTCAGTGCCGGCTCCATGAGCTGGCGAACAAGCGGAGGATCTCCATTGCTGGTTCTTCAAAGACGTTGGCTAATATCCTTTATTCATACCGCGGGATGGGACTTTCAATCGGTACCATGATTGCTGGATTTGATGAAACTGTGAGTGGCGCTTTGACACATTTTAATCTCGTTAAGCTGTATGTATGTCTATGCTTATTTCTTAATAATTCTGCTCTTGATCTAGGGTCCGGGCTTGTACTATGTTGATAGCGAGGGTGCAAGGCTCAAGGGAAGCCGATTCTCTGTTGGTTCTGGCTCTCTATATGCTTATGGTATCTTGGACGAGGGGTAGGTTTTTTTTGTAATACCTCTAGTATGTTGCTTTGCTCGCTGCTCATACTATCTGGAAGTTGCATGCCCTTATGTTTGTGCTTTACATTTCAGTTACAAATTCAACATGTCAGTTGAGGAAGCTGCTGAGTTAGCTCGGCGGGCTATTTACCACGCAACATTCCGTGACGGAGCTAGTGGTGGCTGTGTTAGTGGTATGCATTCTGTTTTTTAGTATTTATCCTGATATTTGTGTTAGAATTTTTGTACATTACCTTGCTTTGCGTAACAGTCTACTTGTGCAGTCTAGTTCCATATAAGGCCCATCCTTTTTTATTCATTTAGCAACAACAGCAAACAATATTAACGACAAACGACCTTCAACAGCATAATCTGGCTTTACTGTTATCCTTACAATTTTAAGCCAAGTTGCCTTGGTCAAATATGTGTATGTTACATCCACGATCTAATCAAGTACTGAACAAGTAATGCTGAACCTTCGGCCCATTCTTGTCAGGTTTTGTATGTCAGAGGTGCTTATGTCCTTTGTAGATCTTATAAGTGGAGTTACAAAATGAATTTCCTCTTGATTATCTGCTCCTGTCTGAGTATACATATTGTGGCTGATAATTACCTGTTGATACTGCTTTGATTTCAGTCTACTATGTTGGCCCTGACGGCTGGAAGAAGTTGTCTGGAGATGATGTTGGAGAGCTGCACTACCACTACTACCCAGTCCAGGCGGCTCCTGTCGAGCAAGAGATGGCCGAGGCCCCTTCTGCGTCAACCTGATTGATGTCATACGAAATTCCGTGAACTGTGTTGAAGCACCTTGTTTTATGGACTGGGGGCTTGTTTGTCTCCTCCTCGACATTAGAGTGTTCTCCTCCGAGACCTGCTGATGTTCACCTTACGCATCTGTTATGGCAATGTGGTTGTAGACTGATGAATGTTATAGATGTTTCCATGAAGTTTCATTTGAATTCGCTTGCTTGCTTGATGTTATGAGTTTTATGTTGCTGCTGGATAGTCTGGACCTAGGGTGGGCAAATGAAGATGCTTTTTAATTCAACGGCCGGTGAGGTGACTACGAACTGAGAAGTGCACATTTCTTGGCTGAAACTGATGGTCCGACGGATGCTGAACAATCGTGCTTTTATAAGAATTGGCGGCACCGCAGATTTCGAGCTTTTCGTTCCTCTCTGAATTTTACTACTCTGATGTTTATTGGAGTAGTAAAAATATCTCTTTTTAGACATTGTAAAATATCTTTCCAAATTGTAAGTGTCACACATGTGGCATGAAGTAACAACGCCCTGACGCTTTTATAACTAAAATTGCCAAAAATAAAATCTAAGAAAAAACTGAAATTTGCCATCCAAGCTGAAATTTGCCATCCAAACAGAACGTTGTCATACTTCATAACTAAAGTTGCCATCCTCGGGTAACCAAAAATGTCACCAAAAAACGTCAGGATGGAACTGCTTCGTGCCACACTCGTGGCACTTGTCAGGGTCCAATATCTTTTCGTAATACAGTATTTCCGCAACCAAATAAAAACGCATGCGCCGCCGCCCCTTTCTCTTCTTCTCCTTCCCATAGCGCAACCGTCAACCCAAATCGTCCACTCGCCAGGAGGAACCACCGCCTGCGATGAAGCGACGAATCTGGGAACGGCGCGCGGCCGCCGGCGAGGGAAACTAGCCAGCAGTGCGTGCCACCGTCGGCCTAGCGCATACGATGCCGACGAGGAGCGCCGCCACGCGCGAGGAGGTGCTCTACCTCCACTCCCTTTGGCGCATCGCCCCGCCCGCCCCTGCCCCTGCCGGAGGCTCCCGCCCCACCCGTGCCGCCTCGCCGAGGATGTGGCTATGAGGATGGGCAGGTGGAAGACTCAGATCCCATCCAGTCTGACAACTACCAACAGCAACAGTCCTACACCAGACGGGCACACAACAGTCCTACACCCAGACCATCGTGGGTGCACAGCAAGAGCAACATTGGGCCACCGGACAACAACAATAGGAGGGGAAGGAGGAGAAGGGTGAGGACGATGATATCCGGATGATACATCCAGCGATTCGAAGAAGAAGGGTAGAGGGAGAAAGCTTCAACATGCGGGAGCGCGAGCTGTTGTGTGATGCATGATTAGCCACTAGCCTCATTCCGATCCATGGCATGGAGCAAAGGGCAGAACATTTTGGAAAAACATTCACATTTGGTTCCACGAACACAAGCATTTCAACGTTTACTCCGACACGGCCATCCGCAACCGTGAATCAAAGTCCCTCAACCATAGATGGTACACCATCAAGAGGACATGTCCAAGTATTGGCGGGCACATGAAGCATCTCATCGCACGGTGGCCTAGCGGTGCACAAATCACCAAGCAAGTAAGTTGATCACTAGCAGGATGTGCTTAGTTTTGTTGCTCACTAGACGGATATGCATTGTTCACAATGTGTCACGTTGTAGCCTTTCTCGTGCTTGTTTGGTGTACAAGAAGTTGGAGAAGAAGAACTTCACCGTCACGCATTGTTGGTTGAAGTTGAATGGACAACCAAAGTGGAACCTTTTCATAGCCAAGACCGCCGCCCAAGCCATAGAGGGAGAAACCGGTGACCCAACCGACCCAACCCAAGAACCGCCAAAAAAGGTTAGAAGATTTTTATGGGGGGAGAAGTTGGAGGAGGAGAGAGCGAAGCGAGAAGGTGCGTTGGCCAAGCTGATGGAGAGGTTCGAGGACATCTTGTCAAAGAAGGAGGCATGCGTGAAGCGCTCAGACCTCAAGGAGGAGAAAAAGGCGGAGAGGTTTAAATTGTTGATGGAGGTGACAGACAAAAAGTTCAAGCTCAAAGAGAGGAAAGCCGCGCTCAAGCCTCAAGGTAAAGAAGTTGAAAATCACAGCCAATGCCGATGATGCCAAGATGTTGACATTTAATTTGGATGATTTGGGTGCCGACGTAAGAATGATCGTGCAATCCGTCCGCTACCAGACCAGATGTTGCAGTGGCAGAAAAATGAGTTGATAGCGGCGGAGGTGGAGGCGGACGCGGAGGTTGCCTACGCGCCGACGACGACACCTTGATAGGTGAGCAGATGGTTGGGATTTGCCGGTCCGACAAGGCATAATTTTGCACGGACTGTCGAACTAATGTTCTTTTGGATTTAGGCATGTAAAAACTAAGCATACTTGCCTCCTTTTAGTTGTGATTGGGCATGCGATCCCGCGTTGGTGTGACCCCGCGCGCTGTATGGATCAAACTATATTTGAATTTTAAATTGACCTTGACTGACGGCATTGGATGGCCGGCTCCGCATCCTTGTCCGCGGACGGATGCTGGAGAAAATTTGCTTGTTGTTGTCTAAGATGCCATAAGAGATTTTTTTAGCCATAGGAGTGTTGCAGTAAATATATTTTTCAGTCTAAGTTGTATGGGAATATCTTTTTGTGAGATATTCTTTTGATGATTTTTCGGCAACCCACGCGGTTGGGCTCCCTCTCGCAACCAAAATAGAAACTCAGCCGCCGCCGCCGCCCTTTTCTCTTCTTCTCCCTCCCTCCCTGAGCGCAACCGTCCACCCAAATCCCCCGCTCGCCAGGACGAACCGTCGCCTGCGATGACGCGCCGAAGCCGGGAACGGCGCGCGGCCGCCGGCGACGGAGACCCAGCCGGCCCCCCGCATTACGACCCCGACGAGGAGCGCCGCCTCGCCGAGGAGGTGCTATACCTCCACTCCCTCTGGCGCAGCGGCCCGCCCGCCCCCGCCCCCGCCGGGCCTCCCGCGCAACCCGCCGGAGGCTCCCGCAC